CTAGCCGAACATGCACGTCTGTGCCAGCATTTGTGTGAAACAGAAGCAGTTTGATGTTAAGTTCAGTCACACACACAGATCACGTTGCGGCCGAACTCGGACATTCAGGAACAAACTTTTTAGCGCTGCCCCGCAGTTTTATCAACTAAATAGCTTAATTGCTCAAGAGCTACATTATCTTTCTCAACAAAGAGCTGGTAGCATCATTGTTTCGAAAGGAATTAAAGCCACTTTACTGTTAATAGAGAAACCCGATAAAACCGTGGTAATTCATTCATACACAACCTCTCTCTCACTGATATCAATGATGCCGTCTGCTCCTTCATCTTATTGTTTAAGCTCCATTTTTGTCTCGACACAGGTGATTCATTTCTGACAATCCCTCCCTATTTTCTGGGCTCTTATTCCTCCAGATAATATATTTGCATGAATTTTTCATCAGCGAGTAATGCGATTCATTCTCGGTGTCTCGTGCAATGGAGAGATCCGTTACTTCATTCAGCTCCATATAGACGGAAGAGCTTTCACAGATGGATTGTGGGTGAACTACACACATTACATTTCAGACCTGCTTCAAATCCAGCCTGGACGCACATGCTCTTATGTTACTCCTGCATGCACATCAGTGTCCATGCATTCACTGCATTAACATGAATACAGTGAGACATGAAAAAAAGGGGAAAGTAAGAGAGAAAGAAATATCTGTGAGCCTATCTAATTGTCACAGATGTCCCACATGGCAGGACTTTAAAAAAACATCCGCAGCAAGAGAGCTGAGATGTTCGGAAAACATTTAGCAGATCAATACGTCGGGGAGAGAGCATGTGCTCTGGGACAGAAGCCTTTCCAGTCGGAATACTGTTACACTTCTATTAGTCAGACGCACAGATCGACCTATTCAGCATATTTCTGTCTCTCTGCCCAACAGGCGCAATTATTTACTGCATGTGAGCGCGATTCATGCCAGCAGCCCCTCAGGTCCAGCACTCTGACACGGGTCCGCCGGAGCGCCAGCCAACAACATTTACGAGTCTAACATGGCTTGTGTGTCTCTGGCAAGCGCTGGCTTCATCTGGCGCTGCGCTCGGCTCTGATCGCTGTCGTGTGTTTGATGGAGTCAGTACAGACCGTGTGACTGATTTAAAGGCCAACAAATGACATTACAAAGTAAAATGTGACCTAATGAAAGACCTGCTGAGGTGAACGGCGAATCATACTTCACACATGTACGTGAAGGAGAGCGAAACGCAAGCTCAACCTCAAATGCTGGCATGTTTGAAAGTGATCGAGAACGCGATTTGTAATGAACAGCAGGTACAGGCGATACGTTCAACAAAAACTATGTTCATCCTCTTCGTATTTTTGTTTTTTCTTTGATGTTGAATAGATTTGTTCATGGCGGTGTTGTTACTGTTAACCAAAACTAGAACTCAAACTACAGCTATTAAAAACAGTTTTCACTAAATAAAATAAATTTTAAATATTAGATGAAAAACTTAAACCTTAAAAAAAATAAAATAAAAAAAAAAGTAAACAAATTATTTAAGAAATGCCTTGGAATAAAATTACTGAAAATAATAAAAGTTACTAACAAATAATATGTGTAAACTATAAACAACTAGCACAGCAAAATTACTAAAATGAAAACTGAAAATATAAAAGTAAAAGTTAATTTAAAATATCAAAAATATACTACAATAATACTGTATATAAATACTAAAATAACACTTGTTGATGGTTTTTGAGGATGAGGGTGTCACAAAACCTGTCAATGTTCATCTGTCTGACAAAAGACGAATTTTTGACATACAATCTTCGACGTCAACAACATAAGATAAGAGACGTGTTTCTCCTCATTATAAAACACAATCAATCTTATTTTCCTATGCACGACTATATGGCCAGTCTCTTTTAGAATCTGTGAATTCAAGAAGTTCAAGAAATCAATCAGACTGTTGCATAAATACATCAAAGCAACACACCATTTGCATAATTTGATTTTAAGGTTTGGTGTAATTATGGATAAGGTCGAGAAAAGTTTAGGCCTGAATCTAAAACAAAATTAAACCTAACCCTTGACTGGGCTTAACCCAACCTTAAATGATCTACCCTTGTACAAAGTTGACTAAACTGACCAAATATCCAGATCTAAGAGGAAACTATACTATTATAGTTTTTAGAAATATTTTGAATTAGTTGCATTTATATACTTTTTCTTTTCTTTTTTTAAAATAAGATAACATTTTAGTAATTTTTCTAATTTTAGTATTTGCTGTTTTATTATTACTTTTTAATAAAATAAAATAGAAATAAAATAAATTGTATTATTTATTTTGAAAAATATTATTTCAGTTAAAGTTCTTTTCATTTCATGTTTCATGTTTAAGGTTTTAGTTTTAGTTAACAATAACAACCCTAGAGCAAAAGTTGATAAAAAGGTTTAGAATATTAAACTAAGTGATCTTTCAAAATCATGCACCGACCAACGCATTTCTTCGCTCTTCCTGTGCAAGCTAGGCGTCTGTCTGCATTTAAAAACATCCTAAGCATAGTCCATCAGTCAGCGGTGTTGGTGGTAATGCATTGCAAGTAATGAAAGTTACGTAATTAGATTACTTTTTTAAGTAACTAGTAAAGTAACTCGTTACAAGAAAATATCTGAGTTCCCTTTCAGTCGGTCACTTTCGACGTCACGTCGAATGACTGACGAAATTGGGGATCTCGCTTAGAGAGACCAATCTACTTCGAGTGTAAACTAAACGAGCCAATGCACATTGGCATGCGATTATTGCATCCAGCTGCCGCTGATCACAGCGTGAGTATAAGTAGGCAGCAGATGCAGCGCATATTCAGCTTTTCGCTTCGGAGCCGAGCGATCACATCGTTCTGCTCCTGACTACTCTACTGAGAGAAGAAGACTGAACGAGTTCAGCGCGCTCTTGGAGAGCTCTTCGTGTTGGCGATTGGTTCTCGGGGTGGTCCGCGCTGGTTCTCAGTGCCCCGCCTCGGTGCCTTTCTTCCCGGAGACGTCTCGGTTACGTATGGTAACCCTCGTTCCCTGAAGGAAGGAACGGAGACGTCATGTCCCGTTGCCACAGCTCCTGTACCACCGCTGAGCGGCCGCGTCACCGGCTCGGCTCCTCAGCGAAAACCTGAATATGCGCTGCATCTGCTGCCTACTTATACTCACGCTGTGATC